TATATCATAGTCCAGTTTTTGCAGAAAAAGCACTTTCTTCTTTCTTAGTCTTTCTGATTGTAACCCTCTAACATTCCATGTTATTATTTTAAGAGTACTCATATTTATGTAGTAGAAGGGTTATTCAGTAGAGGGAGGGAACATTGTAGATTCAACATTACCTTGCGGAGGGCTGGATCGATCGTCTTTTCTCTTATCTCTGCCATAAGACGCCATCGAGACACTTCTTTTCCTTCCTCCTGACGTTATTTCATTGACTAATTCCTCCATCGCAGGATGCTGTTTGTTAAGAAAGATCCCTATTTGTGGATCCACATCATCTTGTCCTGCAGGGTCATCCGTAGGAGAAATCTCCACAGGAGTCGAAATGGGTGATTCTTCACTATCACTTGCACTTAGGTAGCTTTCTGACGAATATTCTTCCTCGCTTTTCCGTCGCTCGTCATCGCTCTCACATTCCACATCAGAGGTCTGTGAGAAGGATTGATCTTCAGGTTCCTCTCCACCTCCAACTGCCATTTCTTCGGGTAGTCTTGAAAGCGTCAAATCCTCCTTTATGTTGTTATTGTATGTCTGCGGCTCCGTTACTCCCGGAAGATTTGTTGTGTTACAACTGCCTGGTTCTTGTCCTGAGGCAGCATCTGAGACAGCCAATGGATTTATCAAGGACACATTTCCATGTGTGGGCCTTTCCTGTAGCGGGGCTGGATTTGAAGCTACTGACAGCGCTGAGGTGGTTGGAAAGTTCGTGCGAAAAGCACTCGTGGAGGGCTGCTGGGAAGCTTTAGTCATATTTGCAAATGATTTGGGACATTTAAAGAAAGTGTGTCCTTTCGCACCACAGAGGGAGCACTCACTTTCGTTTTGGCAAATGTTAGCCTTGTGGCCCAACTCACCACATTTCCAGCATCTGATAGTGGGGCATTCTCTCGCCTGATGGTCTGGACCTTGGCAGATAAAGCACCTCGCCGATTGGCCAGGATAAATAATCCTGCCATTGTAGGGGCCCAACGAGATGGAATTAGGGATGGAGATTATATGCCCAACTTCATCTCTACGCATCCGAACTTTGTATTTTCGGACTCCATACCAGAATCCGAATTTATCTACTGGCTTGACTGGGGGTTGAAGAATCTCGCAG